TTCTTCCATTGATATGCTTCCTTTGAAATCGTGCAATACCCAATATACATAATTTTATTAAATCTTACAGGAAATTGAAACACTCGCACACATTTTCAGTTGAAATCTTGCAATTTTCACACGCACACACACACATACAAGTGTGCTCATCCGCATTCGATATTCGATTTCTTGACGCCATTTTGCCACTCAAATGCCACCTTAATCCACACCTACAGTGTAGTGGTGACAACAAAAACTCGCCCACACGCATATTGGAGACACCTGCAGCGTCAGTGTCAACGTTCGCTTAAGCTCAGACTATAAATGACATCTCAAAATCGTACTGATATCATAGCTGACGTGTCATAGTTGTCTGCTCAAGCGAACGGATTTATTGCGCTCCGCCCCGGCGTAAAAGTCATCAAAGCATTGACGGCACAGCGGCGAATAGAATTTCATTTAATGAACACAATTCTTTGGAAAAATTTAGAGCTAAGGGAGATGGACTTTCGATGGCAATTGTGTGGTCACAAATAAAAAGCGCTGATTGCCTTTTGTTATGCGACAGATAACATAGATAGGAGACGGATAGGAGAAGTGTAGAAGAACCAGCCAACTATGGAGAAGAAGAGGAAGCATAAGAATTTCACTTTTTATGCTTAAAATCAGATTAAAAGTTGATTGGAAACAGTTGTACGTGTAAACAAGGCACTGGCTGTAATGTTAAATACTGCAGTGAAATGCAGCACAGCAAAAAGTAGAAAGCAAAAAGTTAAGAAATTGCATTACTCGGTGATTCCGGCAAAAGCAATTGCACTGCAGCAGGCACACTGGAAGTACATAATTATTAATTTTAATGACATGATGCAATAAGTTGGCTAAATATGCTGCAACGTGGGAGGTAACGTAATGAAATTATTGTCCATTGGAACTTATTCAACTTGAGTGCCACAGAAATTACTGCACAATAATAAAAAATAAAGTGAAAAGTTAAGAAAAAACAGACAACAACCGTGTGTGTTACAGCTATATCTTTGTATTATAAATGTGAAAGTTTGTGAATATGTTTGTTGCTCTTTCACGCCGAAACGGCTACACCTTTTTCAAGGAAATTTGTCAAACATATAGCATAAACTTTTGCAGCACTTTTCAGCTTAGAGTAGGAGACAGTGAAGGCTACTTAAAAAGCGAAGTGCAACTCCTGTGATCAGATGCTGCTACATACTAAATATCCCATCATTCACGTATTTTTATGTGGAGCAGAAACTTTGTCAAATGCCGAAAATGATAAGAAGAATTTAGGCTATTTCTAGGGAAGTATTTTGCATAACATCTAAGGCCCTATTCGGGTAGACGGCGGGTACGGAAAAAGAAGAAACTACGAAAGTGTTGAGCTTCTGCCCCTAAATTCACTTGACGTCTTCATGATAGGGATAGATTTCATGGCGCTGTCCGAGTGGTAGAAATAACAGATGGCTTTTCCACCTGCACTGACTTGTAAAGGGTACCTGTAATAATCATGATTACCTCTTGAGGAAGGTTAAATAAAAGTTTGTACGAGGCGGCCTCTGTGGCTGACTGGTTAGTGGTGCTTGCTACCGCTTTAAAGGACCTGGGCTCGATCTCCTAGGAACATCTACATAAGCAAAAGTCTCCGAGTGTCATTACAAAGCTTCTAATATTGTAAGGCCCTCCACTTGTGTGATAAAATCAGGACGAACACCACAAATGGGAAGAAAAGCTCGGTCAAACATTTAGCAAAAGTTGCTATCAGGTTATAGCACCTCTGCTTTTTTCTAAGTATCTCCTCCTCTGTGGCGGAAGTTCAATTGGAGTTCAAGCCGTTCTTGACAAATTTGGGCTCAGAAAGGACGAATTTGTCAGTTTCAGATTTTAACGGTTCCTATAGAGTATGGACACAAACCCACACTGAAATATAACTTAAAAACAATGGTACGAATTCGGTCCGAAATCGATTTAAACAAATTTTCGAATATCAAGACTGCCGCAAGTATTTCGTTTTATTTACCTTTTTCTTTATTTTAATAATTTCACCCGATTAAATGCTCTTAAGTTTATGCCTGCAAACTTTACTTTAGTAAATTGTTCAATCAGCAAACTTTCGCGAGTGTAGTTGAGTTGCTTCCAGCCGTCTCAGTTAAGCCAGCACGTCACTTGCGAAGACAAAATAACATATTCTGCTATCGATATCAAATTTGCGGCTTTTCTACTACATGCATATGTGCTTTCATAAAATGTTCTACACATGCATACAACTACTTTTAGGACCGTTTGTATAACAATATTACATGAGCGTCAGAACGATTTAAGAGTTTTTGTAGTAAATAAGCTCATATATCTATATCTATCTACATTGGTTCGCGTCCTACTGGAAAGTGAATTAGTATCTATATGCATTACTGTACATAAGTAGATACATATGTATGTACTCGAATAAAAGTTTTTTATAGTCCATCCTTCGATCCCTTCGATGTTACATTTAAATTTTTAAATTTCAAATTTATTTATGTAAATGCAAACCAGCCAATATTTTGCTGGGCGTTGTTGTTCTATTAACTGGCAATCAATTACTCGATAGACAAATTTAGGGGAATATCTAAAGCACAGCACATAGTACCGATACTGAAGTATTTATATCAAAAGTAAGGAATCTAAAACATGACAAGCTACGATTTAAATATACTTCAGGACATGAAGATTTCTGAAAAATCCCGAAAAAATTCCAAAAATTTGCGGAAAAGTCTCGAATAGTCTAAAATATCCGAAAAACACAAAAATGTCCTCAAAAATCTTTAGAAAATCTTGAAGTAAAACTAAGAAAACTTCAAACTGAATTTTTTTCGAAAAAAAAATCCAAAAATTAAAAATGCTTCAAAAATTTGGAAATGCCCGATATAGTTGCAAATTTTCCGAAATTTTGACGGAAATTCTCAAAAAAATTTAAAGTTCTTGGAAAACCACATATGCCCCACATATATCAAATCATCTCGAAAAACTTCGCAATAAAATCCGAAAGATGACAAAAACAAGAAAACTTCCAAAAGATCGCGAAAATCCAATTACGAAGAATCCCGAGAATTTGATAAAATTCACGCATGCCCCAAAAATAATCTAATGACTTCCAAAAATCCTGAAAATAATCTGAAATTTACTGAGAAATCTTATAAAAACCACAAAATATAAAGCTCGAATTACCTATCTTGAAAAATATCTTGATAAATTCAGAAAATAGCCTATAAAGTACCTAAAGATCTTAAAATAAGTAAAACGCGAAGGAATCCGAAAAACATCGAAAAGTTCCGAAAAATCCTTATCAAATACCGATAAGTTCAAAATAAAATCTATTTTTATTTAATTTTCCAAAAAGATACAGAAAAATTCCCGAAAGATACCAAAATATCAAACCCGAAATACCCCGGCGAAAAAATTCGAAAACAAAAACATGGCGAGGCAAAGAAATTGCAAAAGATTATTGAACGGTTTCGAAAAAATCTTCACAAGGCTCAAAAATATCACGAAGCTTTACAATTTATCAATGCCTTAAAAAATAAAATGGGAAAAAGGCATCACCTCAAAAAATATCAAACCACAAAAAAAAAATAAAATTAAAGGCATCTAAGTATTTGTTGTTCAAAATATTAAAAGTTAAGCTTTTTTTAATCACGAGAAATTGGTATTCTGCAATCTGGATTTCAATAAAATGTGTCTTCGAATAGTGGATCACGTACAACCCCGCATACGGGGTTAGAACCGACCACCAATTAGGTAGTCCATTTATCTAGCGCCAACTGTAAGTAAGCCATTAGTTCCAGCAAACAACAGCAATAAAAGTTTCACTGACACTTTCCCTGTTTAACCACCACACTAGTTATCGATTTGTAACTGTCTGAGCCAACAAATTGTTCTTTGTAAGGGTTTGGTATATGTATTTATATACATACATATGTACATCTAAGTAGTATTTATATGACCAACGAATTTCGCTTCTCTTTTTTTTCGTTTAATGCAGCAGCTGCTTATTGCTGTCCGTTCAGCCGTCGATTGAC